GAAAAAAAAAAGCCATTTAAGCGCGCGCGTGATGGCGCGTACTGTCCAATTACTTAGGCATGACGCGTACTGTCCTATTAAACTGTCCAATTAAGGCTGAAATCAGGGCAGTTGATAGCCGATCAGATTTGACAGTTTTGTTACAGTTATGATTACAGAACGAGTTGGTTACCCTGTATTAAATTATCATAAATAGAAATCATGTAATGCGCGCTTGATCATTTCATGGAAAGCGCGCAATATAAGAATTAAATTATTAACATTATTATTACATGATGATGGGTCATTTCATATTTCGGTTATTTGAAGGTAGACTTCATGTCCATAAAATACAAGTGCGATTCTAAATCGCAAACGTTACGCATGCGCAACCCGTTCCAGTCCACCGGCAGACCGATTTCATACCGAAACGGGTGGTCATTTCGCGTTTACAGGATACCTTTGCGAAATTTCGTAACGGATGAAAATTCTCGCCCCGGTACAACAACTGGGGTGAACTCACGCCGGGGTGACTCGTGCCGGCATGGCATTTTGTGGTGGTATCATGTAAACAAATATAGAACCATGAGAGGGAACCAGAGTGAACTCGGGCGGGCGCGAACGTCGCTCCGGTGTCATGTAAACACTCCCTTACTTTCGTACCAGTCTGAGACTGCACCGTTCTCATGTAAAACGGAAATGAATCTCAGACCGGGTCCATAAACAACATGTTTCTCCGTATGGCTCCATCATCCTTGCTTTTTCTTAGCAAAATAAGAACACTGCTATGAATAACTGCTGTAAACAACACTTCAATTGAAATATGCTTCGGGTAATGTGAGGGATTGCATTTTGAGATGCTTGATGCTGTGCATTTAACAGGCCACTAGATGAGCGTTAGATAAAGTTTACAATTTTGAGGGAGCGGTAAAATCTACGGTTCTCTACTTACTGTCTTGACTGGCGTAAATTGTGTACCAGTTAGGACAGTTACCTATTAAAATAATCGACTTAACAAAGTCATATAGCTCCAAGAATCTCCTGTTTTTGAGTTTGTACCGGTCTCATGTAATCGACGAAAGATTTCGTCCCGGTCTCATGTAAACGGCTGCAAAAATTACAAATTCGTACCGGCCTGAGTTCGTCCCGGTCTCATACGCAATTCGCTTCAGTGCCGGCTCTGTTGGCGTTTTTTTTTTGCAATTTTGACTTTCAGCTCGATTTCCCCGGCAAATGTCGATACGAAGCTAGTTAATTTCTTTTTAAAATTAGTGTTACCTGTTATTCTAAAGGAAATACAGTCAATTTTTCTTATTTCTACTCTACATTTATTAGCTATTTATTACAAAAACTGTCACACAATTAAGCTTATTTGTTGTAGTTGGTCACGTGATCAACTTTCTGTAAACAAGAAAATAATTTGCTTTTGAAAAATTTTGTTAGCACGAGCTTAAAGAGCATATTGAAATTAGGTAACCTGTACATTTTCAGCCATATATCTCAAAAGCAGCGATTGCAACGGCCTCCCAAAAAATTTAACCTGAGATCAGGCTCAATTTTCGTTTCGCTTTGTAAATAACATTCCGGCGGGCAATGCGAACGAAAAGAGAGCCTGATACAAAACCTTCTACGAAACGTCCGCCGCCCACTCTCTTGATGCGGATTGACATTTGCTGCGGAATCAGCCAACCAAAATTACTTCCGGTGCTTGTTCTTTTAGTATGCAAATTTTTCATACGTGGGAAAACTGCGGACTGGCTGACTTAAAAAATAGTTTTTACGTTTTAATTTTTCAAACTAAAAATAAAACAGTGAGCACAATCACATTTAACTTCTTACGAGATTATAGCAGATCTCGGAGGTTATTTCTGTTGGCGTAGAAGGTAAATAGTTTTCGAAAAGCCATGAAAGACGGCGACACGATGTTCTAGTTTTAATATTTTGGCTAGGCGCGCTCGAATTTTAAAAAAATACTGAAATTTCTATTTTTCTGTTGCCTTTATATTTTCCTCGGCAATTTTGCCCCGTTTTCAGTACATAAATCTTTAAAAATCTTGGAGAAATAAATCGCGAACAATCTCAGAACAAACCAAACGAGTTCTCAAGTGCATTTAATTTAGCTGATTTAGTCCCGTGAGTACACTTGTAATTTGCGAATTTACTAGAGAAACAAACGTCTAAAAATAGATTTTTTTGTAAATCCAGGTAAACATTAACTGCTAATTTGGAAAGACGAAACGACACTACTAAAAATGCATACTCAACTGACCTATAAACAAAACGAAAAACAATAAACACACTTTGTAGTTGTCTTTAGTTTTGTTGTTGTTTTACTGCAGGTGTGAAAAGCTCGCTAAATTTATTAATCGAAATTAACAAACAGCCAACGAGCGAGGACACCAGTTTTCCTGGTTTATTTTTTACAAAAAGCGAAGGCAAACAACAAGTCTGTTACCTTAAGTGTCATTGTCTGAGAAAGTGTTCCAGGGGCCAAAAGTTGTGGTCAACCGATCTGGCTGAAACTTGGCACAGAAGTTGGGTGTGATGAGATATTTCAAAAGCCACTTTGGCTTACTTCTCTGACTTTTAATTTTTTGAGTTACAGGGGGATCTCATTTGTTGCCTTTTGAGCACGAAAAATCCAGCCTTCCAAGGGGCATTTTGAAAGTGCCATAAGACCCCACTGGTAAATTGTGTTACCGAATGAATTTGACCATGAACTCTACTATAAGGGACTTGTCACAAATTAGCAGGGGGGGAGGGGGGGAGGTGGAAATTTTAAATTTGGGTGCGGAAATGAGGTGACCCATCCCTGCAATGGGAGTGAAATTTTCTAACCCTCCCCTTGACCTTGGCCTGAAATATCATGACCCTCCCCCTCTTGTATAAATGATAAAATCTAGTTCTTGCAATACACTAGAGTGAGTCAGTGTTATGAAAGCTCAAAATATATTTCCAATCTGTTCCTTGTAATGCTATATACATACATTTTAGATGACAGCATTAAGAAAGTCCGACTCTGATTCTGACAGCTGATCACTCGACTCTCCTATTTCTCCCAGGTGTTTTGTTTTGGGTGAACCTCTACATGATCACAGACACATATTTGCATGACCCTCCCCCTCTTAACGGCCCATTTTTCACCACCCTTCCCTTTTCTGCAGTCTCAAAAAGTTGTGACCCTCCCTCTGTTTCCGCCCCCCTCCCCCTTGCTAATTTCTGACAAGTCCCTAATAGAGCTTTTAGTTCATGTAACTTTGTCCTCAAGGTATTGCACAGAGAGGAGCCTGGGGCTAGAGTTTGGCCAAAATTGATGTTAAAATTACAACCCAAAATAGCCATTTTTCAAAATTTCAGTATATTCACCTGCCTTCTTCAATAACTTCCATACCCACACCACTGTTTACTTTAGTCACCCAATTATCAATATCAGAGGTCACCTCGATACTGCCTACTGAAGCTCGTGTTTGTTTGTATAAGCTATGTATGCATGGTCATGCTCCTTTTCTAATGGGTATTTACAACAACTATTTCAGGCTATTACAAGGTCTTACGAATATTATATATTAACGAACGTTCTGTTAAGCTAACTTTATCTGGTAACAATATAAACAAATGGGCCTGACAAAATAAGGACACTGTCCATGCTTGGAGTAATGCTTAAAAAAATGACATGCAACTGAACATAAATCAAAGAAAAATTTAAGAACTTTGCAAAAAGATCGTTATATCTAGGTCAGAACATGATCAGTAATTGTGTTCTATGATGGTTTCTAGGTTGTCAAAGAAACAAATCACCCTTGTTTTGCTAAATCATGTGTTTGTTGTGCTAATCAGAGGCCCATTTTAGATCAATTTTAAGGTAAGAGTCGGTGTATTTCTAAACAACGAAACTGATTTGGCTTTGAAAATTCAATTTCACTTACCAAATACAGAATAAGGGCTTCTTTTCAACAATTTGGTTTGTTTATGGCCTGAATTATGCTCAAAATTCCATTTTGTATCACCTTAGAGGGACATGAAGTGTTTGGTCCAAAAATTCAATAAACCAAAATAAGCCAAATTTTTCTCAACCGATATTGATAATTGGGTGATTAACGTAAACAGTGGTGTAGGTATGGAAGTTATTCAAGAAGGCAGGTAAATATACTGAAATTTTAAAAAATGGCTATTTTGGGTTTTAATTTTAACATTAATTTTGGCCAAACTCTAGCCCCAGGCTCCTCTCTGTGCAATACCTTGAGGACAAAGTTACATGCATGAACTGAAAGCTCTATTAAAGTAGAGTTCATGGTCAAATTCATTCGGTAACACAATTTACCAGTGGAGTCTTATGGCACTTTCAAAATGCCCCCTCGAACTGCTGGATTTTTGGTGCTCAAAAGGTAACAAATGAGACCCCCCCTTGTAACTCCAAAACTAAAAGTTAGTGAAGTAAGCCAAAGTGGCTTTTGAAATATCTCATCAAACCCAACTTCGGTGCCAAGTTTCAGCCAAATCGGTTGACCACAACTTTTGGCCCCTGGAACACTTTCTCAGACAATGACACTTAAGTCTAGCGCCACTAGCTTATAATAATGGCTACAAAAAATTCCTTGAACAGCGATGCGATATTTTTCGTCTAATACTTCACAGTTGGCGATTGAGGATTTTTCGCAGTGAGCCTCCGCTTGCGTGGTCCGTTCAGAGAAGTCTTTCCCAGGTAAATTTTCAATTGAAACCTTTTTTTAGATTAGTAAATCAAAAGGCACATTCTACACATTGTTCGCGGTCAACAACTTGCAGAGAGATTCAACTCTGCGATACACTCACATTAGTTCCGCAAATAAAGCAAATCCTGAGAACATATGAACAACCATCTTAATTTTCTGAATTTCCATGGCACATTTTAAGGCATATTTTCCTACTATAAGACCATAAAACAATAAAAAAGACAGCAAAATCGATCCTTCTGTCCGCCGACGGCTGATCATTCGCGAAAACAACTACGCGAGGAATAAGTGCCTTCAACTTCCGTTGATTCCAACAGCCAATCAGATCTTGTGGCATTGTTCTAACAGCCAATCAGCGTTACGGGCAAAATCTGGCCGCAGTGAGCACAAACTTGTGAGAGTTCGTATCAGGCCCAATTTTAGCATTAGCCGTTAGAGAGAATGTATGAGATCCGCTAAAATTGGTCCTGACCTCAGGTTACCGAAAATTAGAAGGATTTATATGAGAAAAACAATTCTTGCCACCCGGACACGCTTTCCATACAATGTCCTTGTAAATTTTGAAATTTTTAAACTGTCATTAAATCTTTCCCTTACGCATTTAAGGGTTCAAATTGCCTGTTATAAATTAGCAGGAGATTTGGGCTCCGTGATGCTAAAGAAAATACTTTACGACAGGTTGAAAATTTCTAAATTTACAAGGATTTGTATGGAAAACTATTCAAGCGTGACTGGGTGGCAAAAGTTGTTTTTCTCATACAAATCCTTCTAATTTTAGGCAGCGGTTGCAATCGCTACTTTTTTGTTATACAGCTGGAAATTTACAGGTGACCTAATTTTAATATGCTCTTTCCACTCGTGTTAACAAAAATTTTTTAAAAGCGAACTGTTTTAGTGTTTACCGAAAGCTGATCACGAGATCAACTAATGCAAAAGCCTATTGTAGAGAGTCTTGTATATTAAGAGGGGGTTTCTTATTTTTACACATCCAGATATAATGTCTGGCTAATAATAGACAAAAATTTATTGGATTATGGTTTTTTAGAGGCATCTGGTGATTCACGAGTTTTTAGTATTAATGTTGTTTGTAATTTGGGTATAAGGATCCCTTTCACAGAACCTGGATTTGTATAAGTAACAAATCAAATCAACAACAGTTTTTCATTGCTTGTACGCTTATCAAACATAACACTGGACCAATTAGCATGCGAGAAATCGCTTAGTTATTGTGGAGTTTCTTTGTGAAAACTTTGCTGCTATTCATCCTTCCTATTTCTTCTTTCTAAATTTAATGACCTCAAACATAACCAATGGATTGCATACGTGTATTTCAATGACTGAAATTATTTGGCCAGCAGTTAAAAAATTAATAATATTTTTTTCTTTATTCAGGGCAACCATTCTTGGATTATTATGGTGGGAAGACTGTGAAGGGAGCTACTGGTTCTTCTATGAATTTCACATGGACCATCCTAAGACCTTTTACCAGNCATAACACTGGACCAATTAGCATGCGAGAAATCGCTTAGTTATTGTGGAGTTTCTTTGTGAAAACTTTGCTGCTATTCATCCTTCCTATTTCTTCTTTCTAAATTTAATGACCTCAAACATAACCAATGGATTGCATACGTGTATTTCAATGACTGAAATTATTTGGCCAGCAGTTAAAAAATTAATAATATTTTTTTCTTTATTCAGGGCAACCATTCTTGGATTATTATGGTGGGAAGACTGTGAAGGGAGCTACTGGTTCTTCTATGAATTTCACATGGACCATCCTAAGACCTTTTACCAGGGTTGACTGGGGATTAGCATTCTCTCCTAGCGCATTTGATACTCCACCTCGATTGCTAGTGTTTTTATCTAAAAAAAGTACATTTTCAGTTACACCCCCAGCAGCATATACTGGAAGAGTGTCGGGGAACATTAATGGAAATCAAGTTTCATTTGCTCTTAGAAACTTAAGAAAAAGTGATGGAAGGTTGTATGGCTGCAGGATTAGTGACACAAACAATGCAGATGACATACCAAGTTTTGACTCCGTCATGTTAGTAGTTGAAGGTAGGTGCGACTGCTGTGTTGTAATTTCATGCCATCTCATGCAACAAATGCAGTTATCATAATAAAGCTGCATAAAGAAAAATACAATTAACACTCAAAACTAGTAAAAGATATCCCACAGTTTTCTGACCAAAAATGGCGAGTTTGGCGAAAATTCAAATGAGATGGCAAAGGCCCCCCTCAGAAAATAGAGATTTTCACGAAAATGTCGAAGTGGACGAAAATGGCGATGATTCCCCATATTTGATAAAAGTGCAAATGTCATGGCAAAGAGGCCCCTTGTTAAGTGGCGGTTGGTTAATATCACAGGGCTAAATGTACATATTGAATTACAACTAATTTATAGAGTTTTTGTGAGTAGGTAAGTAACTAGTATTCGTAATCAGTAAAATGGTCCTCACCTTAAAGGTGGCCTACAATCCTCGCCAAAAATCCTTGAAACACCTATGCACGTCCCTTTCCGCCTGCAATGTTGAGATGTTATTGCAAAGTTGCGTGGCTACAACAACATTGCAAAAGGGAGGGGGAAAACAAAAGGGAGCAGAATTTTCCAAAGTGTTTCAAGGTTTCTGTCTAAGATTGTCTGGAGTGGCGCGAAATTTTCGGAGCATGCGCAAGAAATGCCAAATAAGACTTTAACATTTTTAGTGGCGACTACCCGCCGGCCTTGCATCTGCAACGTCTCTTGTAATGATGATGTACACGTTTGTTGAAGTCGATAAATTATGTGAATTTTCTTTTCTGAATGTGAGAGGAGAAGGTGAAATGTCTAAGGAGAAGAGTTGTGTTGAAAAGAAATTTTCACTTGAAGGGGAGTGAGTGTATTCGAGCAGAATTTGCAGTTGTGAGCTGTTGTGTCGCATTGGAACAGTGTAATTGTGCTAAGACTTGCAAAGATTTAGCACAAGAAATATCTTTGCTAGAGCAGCCAATTTACAGAAGTATTTTTTCCTCGATAAGAGTAATTTCTGAAGGTAAATGTTAGGCAGGTAACTTAGAACTGACCGTATTTCTATTGAAATGGGACTCGCCCCGAATTAATTCCGTTATGCATGTGTTATGTAATGTACACAGGCCACGGTTTACCCCAACGGTTTACCATTAGGTTTTTCCGGTGTGAGTGGATTTCAAAAAGTCGAAGTACGTATTTATATGTGCAAACAAATACAGACACGTAACGTCTTTAACAACAGCATTGTTTCCAAAGTGTACCACTGTTACTTTCTAGTGCCGTCTGCTCACGACGAGAAAAGGGTCAACGGTTTACCGTTGTTAAATATGAAAGTAACGCTGTTGACATCTTTATTTTATTACACAGTATGGTTAACCGTTGTAAAAACCCTGAAATTTACGCTGTGGCCAGATCTGAACTTAACAGTTGGGTTGGATATTTAGTTAACTTCATATCAAACCGTTTTTTAAGCTACAAAACACACATTTGAAACAGAATAAGAGCAAAAACCCATGGTAAACCGTGGCGCCAACTCGGGGGGTTAACCGATGACTGTTTACATTACGCAACAGATGCATCACGCAATTATATCGGGCCGACTTCTATTTAAATAGAACTCAGTGAGTTGCTCAGTATCGGGTTAATTTGTTTTCTTTCCTTGAATTTCCTGAATTTCCATTCGGCGCTGCATACGGTTATCCATCGAATTTTATCACATTTCTTCTTCTCTATACTGCAGGTATTAAGAATTGTATTTTTCATTTCCATTTTGNTAAGAGTAATTTCTGAAGGTAAATGTTAGGCAGGTAACTTAGAACTGACCGTATTTCTATTGAAATGGGACTCGCCCCGAATTAATTCCGTTATGCATGTGTTATGTAATGTACACAGGCCACGGTTTACCCCAACGGTTTACCATTAGGTTTTTCCGGTGTGAGTGGATTTCAAAAAGTCGAAGTACGTATTTATATGTGCAAACAAATACAGACACGTAACGTCTTTAACAACAGCATTGTTTCCAAAGTGTACCACTGTTACTTTCTAGTGCCGTCTGCTCACGACGAGAACAGGGTCAACGGTTTACCGTTGTTAAATATGAAAGTAACGCTGTTGACATCTTTATTTTATTACACAGTATGGTTAACCGTTGTAAAAACCCTGAAATTTACGCTGTGGCCAGATCTGAACTTAACAGTTGGGTTGGATATTTAGTTAACTTCATATCAAACCGTTTTTTAAGCTACAAAACACACATTTGAAACAGAATAAGAGCAAAAACCCATGGTAAACCGTGGCGCCAACTCGGGGGGTTAACCGATGACTGTTTACATTACGCAACAGATGCATCACGCAATTATATCGGGCCGACTTCTATTTAAATAGAACTCAGTGAGTTGCTCAGTATCGGGTTAATTTGTTTTCTTTCCTTGAATTTCCTGAATTTCCATTCGGCGCTGCATACGGTTATCCATCGAATTTTATCACATTTCTTCTTCTCTATACTGCAGGTATTAAGAATTGTATTTTTCATTTCCATTTTGTCCGTTCTGTGAAAAATGACTTTTCTCTCGCTTTTGGCATGTAAGTCTCCACTTACTAATTAAAATATGTTCACTACTGGATTTAAATCAGTTCGCATTGATATCATGTCTTGGTCAATTCTGCATTGACTGCATTAGGTCCGCTGTTGGAAATTTATAGTAATGTTGGCCAAACCCTTGTCTTCTTGGTTAGCTCCCTGTTCTGAATAATAAAGTTCGTATTGTAATTTTTTCCCCTTGAAGTCGAGAAACAGTTCTCGAAAATTTGAGCCCTTAAGATTGTCAAGAAAGAAATTCTTGTCATAAATTCAAAGCTGTTAAAATCAAAACACCTTACGCTATAGGTCACGCTTGCTGTTTCTTCGAGCATGCCGCCACGTCTGAAGAGCGTGTAATGATAACCTGATGGCCTTTTACACCTCACACAGTCTGAAGTGGCGCGAAATTTTCGGACCATGCGCAAGAAATGCCAAATAAGACTTTAACATTTTTAGTGGCGACTACGCGCCGGCCTTGCATCTGCAACGTCTCTTGTAATGATGATGTACACGTTTGTTGAAGTTCGATAAATTATGTGAATTTTTTTTTCTGAATGTGAGAGGAGAAGGTGAAATGTCTAAGGAGAAAGATTGTAGGTCCAAAGTCTTCACAATATGTTGATGTTTTTTTTTTTGTAAAATGTTCACAAAGAAAGGGGTCTGTGCAAGCACTGCCAATGAGGTGTTATTGAAATGAGAACACCACAGGAATTGCTTCACAGACCCAAAAGTCAAAAGAATCTTACAAGACACTATTATTAAATTAGCAGTGAATCTTGTATTCAAAATACATACGAGGCTAATAAGATTTTTACTTGTAGCTTTCATTGGAAAGTGGAGTGCTACGGGTAAAGTTTATGTAGAAATAAATTACATGTCATGCAGTTTGAATAAGGTTTTAATAAGTTGCAGTTTATTTCGAATACAGTCGAACCTCCCGTAAGGGACTACCCAAAATGCGAAGACTAATTAGTGGTCGCTTTACGGGAGGTGGTCGCTTACGAGAATCGAACCAGAGGGGTTTTCTTCCGAGAAGAAGTCTGAACACATCTACTTTAAGGAAGGGAATTTATTGCATGCAATTTCCAAGTTACGACATGTGCAGTTCCATTTTGTTACTAAAGTTCTCCCTATATTCTAAGTAGGATAGTGCACACAGAGACAATAAGAAAGCGGAAAAGTCGTTAAAGGGACTATGTCAGCTGGAGAGCATGCGCGTTGAGGTTATGCAAATTACTTTTAACTGTCAAAATTCTATCTTTTTTAATGCGTGACTTCCTGTCACGTCCAAAGCTCCGAAATGTTTAATGAGACGTTTACAAGTTTGGATAACTGATCTTTTGACAGAATTTACGGAAGGTTTCCTTTCTGGTTATGCTAGAAAGAGTTCACTCAAATTCTTCGTCGAGAATAAAAGTGGTAAGACAATTTTACTTGTAGTTTTGAGGTAAAAACGCGTGCCAGTCATGAAAATATAGCGCAAACAGAAATTCACCAACGTATTGTCGTAGTCAACAAAATAGATCAAAGTCTTATTTAAGAAACGACCTACAAAACTTTAGACCAAAGGTAAAGACGAGGACTGTTTCAATTTATTAACAGTAAGACTTGTCTCTCGCTACTGATCTTTGTAATTTAGATCGCATGCTGACAGGACAAGAGACGCCGTTTATTGATGCCTCCGTGTTGAAGCGAAACACTCATTGATTGCGCAAATTTGTTCGATCGTGCCGAATCACTGGGACGTCGAGAAAAACAGAGCCAAGTATCATTGGTATACTGCTCCATTGTAAGCAGTCCGTGAATAACAAGGGAAAGTAAACTCTGCTATTTTCCAAAATATGCTCAAACACAAACAGTTCATAAACATGACCAGCACAGAATCTAACTCGTACTGGTCCGTTGCTATCTGAGTCCGTTGAGAACAAGCTGGACGAGTTAACGGTCGTTTTTTATCGCTGTCGTGAATGAAGATAAATACAAGACGGAATCATCTAGCCGAATTGTATAACATTTCCTTCGCCAAAAGATTAGTTTCGTCTCAAAACTCATGGCCACGCTTTTGTAATCGTTTAATAAAAACATCCGCTTGTAAGCGCCTCGAAAGCCGCTTCATCTCAACATACTTTGAACACACACACGCAAAAAAAATTCAAGAGCCAACAGCCTCTAAAATGACTCAACAGAAAGTTTCTGTGAACTATAAGGAAGATTCCATTTAAGATTCCATCACTCATCGTGGAGTAGCCGTCGTTAATTCTCTGCTAATTCAACGGCCTCTGGTAAGACAATCGTAAGAGACGTTAAGAGGACATTGTAAATCCACGTAAAAAAAATCCAAGGACGAACAATTTCAAAATAATGCAAAAATATTCTTCTGTAATCACCATAGAACGATTCTTAGTTCAAAACTTCGGTAACTATCGAACGATGGCTGAGATTTCAACAGCTAAAAACAGCCTTCCGAA